GGGGGGAGGAGGGGGGCAACAAAGGCGGAGACAGAGCCAGTGTTGATGGAGGAGGGGAGCTGCTGCTGCCACAGCAACCACGGCACTCTGCTCTCAATCAGGTCCTCGGGGGACACCTCTGAGCTGTGTGTGTGTGTGTGTGTGTGTGTGTGTGTGTATGGAGGCTTGTGTGGATACAGACACAAGATCACATGTTATACATTACAGAAGGGAGCGAGACACACACACAGAGAGAGAGAGACATGTAGTTTTCTTCAAACCACTTTTTGTGAACACGTCTCAGTGCAAGTCTCTTCACAGACTCCATTTAAATGATAAAGAGAAATAAATAAAGGTGTGTGTGTGTGTGTGTGTGTGTGTGTGTTATAATGAACTCTGAAGTTTAATCATTCCCGTCTTTTTGTCTTCTTGTGTCCACTGAGAAATGTTTAATCACCTCTGTCCAATGTATTTGTCTCTGAATGACACTCAGACACAGACACTCCATCCATGTCCAAGACTGTCCTCATCTGATTCTACTTGGAGAAAATGCCCTACTACCCAGCCACCCTACTTTTCTTCTGTCCTTGTCCAAAAGCCGTCTTGGTGTTCTGTCCCTCTTTGCTGTAGTCTGTCCAAATGCCCTTCTGTCTTCTATTGCCCTACTGTTTGTTTCTTTGCCCTACTTCCTGGTTAGGCAAGTTTCCTGCTGTCCAGGTGTACAACTGTCTAAGTGTCCTAATGTCTTAGTGTCCTACTTTACCAAAGTGCCTTATTTGTCATACGTCTACTGTCCTTCGGTCCCATCCTCCTACTGTAATGCTGTTGTGCGTCCCATTGTCAACTTCCCTATTGTCCTACAGAGTTCCTGTGGAGTAAAAGTCCTACTGTCTTTCTGTCCTACCACCAAACTCTCTGACTGTTCTGCTGTCTTCCTGTCCAACAGTTTGTTGTTGTTTTTGTTTTTTTTGCCGTGCCCCTGTGGACAAACGAACCAAGGCGTCTCATTGGTCAGAGCGATCAGCTGACTTTATTTTCAGTGAGGTCATTTCATTACAGCCAAATACAGTTCACATAAAAACAACAGGGTGAAGCTGATTGGTCCACAGCTACGACTGACAGCTCTTTATGTTCAGAATGGTCACTTTTTTTTCTTTGTTTTAATACAAAACAAGTCTTTTTTTTTTTGTTTTTTTTGTATTTTAGAATGTGACATCACACATGTACGTACACACAACAACATCACATCTATACAAAACAATCTGATATAAATATTTTTCATCTGTATGTTACAAAACATTCCCTCTGAGATGTCACTGCTGGGGTCGGGGCCAGGGGTGAGGGCAGATTGTGATCAGTCACAGTGTTGTATAAATATTCAGCTGGCAAAAGTCACAAAAACCCACAGGAAACAAGTGAGGGGCGGGGCTTAAATACAAGAGCAGGCCATGAAAGAAGGCGTGTTTGAACAAGAAGACATAAAATTACAGTAGCCTATCAGGATGCAGAGTGAAATTTTACAGTGCGAGCGTTGAAAAAATAAATTCATAAGTACTAGACATGTGGGCGGGGCTAAAGAAATGGGCTTGGTCAGTTTTTTAGACATGTGGGCGGGGCTAAAGAAATGGGTAGAAATCAGTTTTTTTGTGCTTGTTGCTTGTCTTTGCATTGACTAAACTTTTGACTAAAGTCTTTCAACTTTAACTTTGAAAGGTTTACAGGTAGAGGAAATGATGTCACACAGTATTCAAAAACCCAAATCCAACAGCAGAATTTAAATTCAAATTTCATTTAATTAAATTTTTGACTTGACAAAACAAAATCAAGTACAAAAATTCTTTTCTGTTTTTTAACATTTTAGCTGACAGAAGGCTCCGCCCACTCTGGTTAAAGCGCTGCTGCTGCTGAAAAAGGCCCCGCCTTCTCTCAAGTGATTGGTGCTCATGGCCAAGAGGAACAAAACAGATGACAAAGAAGGAGAGAACAAGGAGGAGGCAGACCTACATGGGCGGAACCACCAGTCCAGTCATGGCTGTGGAAAGGCAGAGACAGAGGTGAGGTCAGAGGTGGGCGGAGTCAAATTGTCTTACCCTGTTTAAATTGATTTATTTTACCAAAATGTTAGTCAGAGATTTTTAGCTGTGTGTGTGTGTGTGTGTGTGAGAGAGAGAGTTGTAGTGAATAAAACATACGTGGTCCTGTCACTCTTACTGTGCGTTGTAGTGAATAAAACATACGTGGTCCAGTCACTCTTACTGCGCACTATCATGACTCAGATGTACTCTCTGTGTGTACCTGTGTGTACCTGTGTGTACCTGTAGAGTGTGTTTTCATCCAAGCTAACATTACATTCACACATAGACTGTGAAGCACGAGGTTCTGTAAAAGCAGCGAAGGTAAAAGGAGTTAGAGGAGGAGCTATTGAAGGAGGAGCAGCGTCACCTTGCAGCGTGTTAGCGTTGTTAGCAGAGCAGTTTGGAGGAGGGGGCGGAGAAGCTGAAGGTCTGACCACGGGGGCGAAGGCGCTCTTTTGTTTGACAGCAGCAGAGAAGGAGAAGACGCCGTGAGACGAGTTACAGTTGGACACCGGGCTGGACATGGGACTGGAAGGAACGACTGGAACACAAGAAACCAGGGGGTCAGGACAAACTGGATCCAGATTAGGGTTCCAGTTCATTTACAGTTCAATAAACCCATAATGAGCTTAATCTTAATTCATATGGATTATAATCTGATGACATGAAACCAGAATGATTGGATTATTTCTAGTATTGATCAGATTATTGTTTGATTTTATTCTAATAGTAATTACTGCGTCTTTACCTTGATACTTACTGCCGTAGGGGGAGTTACCCGTGGACCCGTTGAGGAAACCCGGCGAGGTTGCCAGGTTTGGCATCCCAGTGTTGCCATAGCCGTTCATGCTGTTGCTGACGGTGTTGCCGTAGTTACTTTGCTGTGGGGTGGAGCTTGGTGCATATCCCCGTGGTGACACACTGCTGGTGTTGCGACTGTAGCCAACTGACAAGGGGGCGACAGAGAGTGTCAACGCTACAGCCAAACTCTAGCTCCAATCAGAGAGACTGTGAGCTCTCCGTCTTTACCTTGTGTTGTCTCAGAGACGTTGACGGCCAGCTGACCACCGAAGGAGTTGACTCCCATCATGCCATGGGGGCCGGTGTTGCCCAGGGATGTGATTTGGTTGTGGTTCCTGGGGACGCTATAGAGCGCCTCAGCGATGTCCGCCGCTCGCTTAAGGATCATTTCCTGTTCGGAGATTGGTTTAAACAGTTATTGTTTAGTTAAGGTCAGATTCACTTAACCTGAACTGGATTACACCAGAGAACCTTGAACAATAACGCAAAAACTAAAATAGGCTGCAGTACCAGCATTCACCACTAGTCTGTAGAAACCTGTAGTCACATTTGTTTGTTTTTATATGTGACACACACACGGACACACAAAGTTGGATTTACATGTATTTACTGCTTCTGTTTCTGTTCAAGGTTACTCTTTCACACCACTCGACCCGTGTGTGTGTGTTTGATTAAATCCTGCCAGCGCACCGTGTCGGGGACACACAGAACATAAAAAGCTTGGGACTCATAAAGCCGTAGCTTTGCCCTCTTCACTGAGCATCATGGGAGAAAAATAAAAACAAATTAACATTAGGAGCGAAAAAAATGTTAATTTTCTGCTCATTTAACTGGAAGATTTTCTTGACTATTGTTGTTAAAAGTCAGTAACACATTGAGATTTGTTACCATTTCTTCTCCACCCCCACCTCACCCCGCCCTCCCCCCAGAGAGGAGATCAGTGTTTGTGGTAAACAGAGTGACTGCTGAGCAGCGGTCTCTTGGTGGCAGCACTGAGTCACTGTCTCCTGTGTGTCTGCTGTTGAAGAAGAACCAGACGGTGTGTGTGTGTGTGTGTGTTACCTGGTTGTTGTGGGGCATTCCGTACAGCGCCTCCACCAGGTCAGCGGCCCGCTTCAACAACACTTCCTGCAGAAACAGACACACACACACACACACACACACACACACTCGGTGAGCTTGTTAAACACTGATCCACTTCACTTGAGCGATCAGAACACACACGATGTGTGTGTGTGTGTGTGTTTGTGTGTGTGTGTGCAGACACAGAACAATGCCTCATTCAGTCTTTATCTTAATTAAACACACACAGTTAATCTGCTGCTTCTTTAGGCTTTTCAATTAACCCCGCCCCCTCAGAGCCCACTCCTCCTCCTTCATCCCTCCATCAGTCACTCCTTCATTCATCCCCACATCCTGTTTTTATGTCACAGCTATTTTTGACATGTAAAACTCTTTTTAAATCACACACACACACACAGACACACACACAGACACATACAGACACACACAGACACACACAGACAGGCTGAGAGTGGAAGTCATTTGTGTCAAGTGTCTCTCGGCCTCAGACGATCGTTTCCTTAATCTGTTCGTTTATGCAGAGAGATGCTCCAGTGTGTCTCCCACACACACACACACACACACACGCACAGACACTGACAAATGAAAGCCTGATTATTACAAGTGTTTCTCTGTTACTGGCTGAGATGACAAGCACCTCTCCCTGCTGCTCCCACACACACACACACACACACACACACATTTACAAGGCTTGGATACAGCTGGAGGTGGAGATGTCATCACTGAAGGAAACTAATTATACACGCGCACACACACACACACACACACACTCTCTCCCCTCAGAACATGACCTCTCCAAAACTGATGATGAAAAGTTTGAGGGAAACAAACTGAATGAAACACCGTAGGAAGTGAAACAAGACGATCTACTCTGAGTCACTGTGGAACTGTTCTAGAACCGATCCAGAAAACTGTCACACACACACAACATGTCACTGCAGTCCAGACTGGTTCTCAGTGAAGGGGGGACCGGGGGGGGGGGTGAACTGACTCAGAGTCAGTTTCCTACACTCTTCTAGTTCAGGGACTCTGTGTTTTTCATTACTTCAGAGCAAAACCAGAAATGTCACCAAACAGGAGAAAAACAATTATATCTTTTTTATAAATCAGATAAGGGCTATGTGTGTGTGTGTGTGTGTGTGTGTGTGTGTGTGTCAATCTCCTCTCGTGCCACATGGCTGCTCTCGTTGATTACCCGATTTGACTGTTTCAACCTCCCTGTTTGCCAATGGGCTTTACACACACACACACACACACACACACACTCAAAATAGATGATTGAAAAAAGTGTGTGTGTGGGTGTGTGTCTGACACTAACACTGATGAATGTTGTGTCACTGTTGGCGTCTGATTGGTGGTTTTCAAACATTGTTGGACACTGGCTGGACAGTGAGCAACTGACTGACTGACTGACTGACTGAAGGACTGACTGACTGACTGACTGACTGAATGACTGACTGAAGGACTGACTGACTGAAGGACTGACTGAAGGACTGACTGACTGACTGACTGAATGACTGACTGAAGGACTGACTGACTAACTGACTGACTGACTGACTGACTCACTGACTGACTGACTGACTGACTCACTGACTGACTGACTGACTGACTGAATGACTGACTGAAGGACTGACTGAAGGACTGACTGACTGACTGACGGACTGACTGACTGACTGACTGACCCTGACCTGTGGACCATGACCTCCTTCAGTACAGTCAGTGCTCTACCAACTGTAGGTACTGACGCAACTTATCTTTGATTCTGTCTGTATCATTCAGCTCATGTTTTTGTTTTTAAACTTCTATAGAAAACTCCATTGAAAACCATCATTTGAATTATAGATCATCATCAACCTTTATTTTTATTCATCTTAAAAACTGCAGCACGAGCAACGATGTTGACCACCTGTCAGTGATCGTGAGTGTGTGTGTGTGTGTGTGTGTGTGTGAAAGTCCAGTGTCCTGAGCTCACTGAGTCGACACAACTGTGGAAGATTGAATGAAGCTGTTGATGATGTGGTGAAATCTTTGAGATGCTAAAGATCAGGTCAGTGTGTGTGTGTGTGTGTGTGTGTGTGTGTGTGTGTGTGTGTGTGTGTGTGTAAACAGATGTGTATCTGAGCAGCCAACCAGAAAGAGGACTGATTGAAAAAAAACAGCAACAATCATCATTTTCTCTGTTTATTTAAAGAGTTGTATTAAGTTGTTTGTGTGTGTGTGTGTGTGTGTGTGTGTGTGTGTGTGAATACCTTTGGCAGTCTCTCAGGGTCTCCAGGATGGCGAGGAATGACCTTCTGTAACCTCTGAAAGCCGTAGTCTATAGTGGGCTCGTTCAGGGCTTGTGTGTGACATGGTGTAGGTTATGGTGGTTGTGTAGTTGTGTAGTTGTGTAGTTGTGTGTCTGTTGGTGTTGTCTGGAAGAGTCTGTGAAGTTCTGACTCCGTACCTGTGTAGACGAACCGTCCCGGCGCACCTTTACAGAACTGCTTGGACTTGTAGGACAGCGTGACCTCGACGACTCCGGGAATATGTCGGGGCGGAGTCTGGACCCGGATTGCGTGAGGTGTGATCAGCTGAGGGAGAGAGCGGGGGAGTGGTCAGTGGTCAGTGGTCAGTGGAAGCTGTTTCTGCTGGTTGATCAGTGGTAATTGATCAGTTAATCAGTACCTCGCTCCACACCAACATAGTGCCAAAAACGACCTGCAAGCCGTCGAAGAAGTTGTCTCCGATCAGGATGACGGTGGCGCCCCCTGTGGTCCAGCCCTCGCTGGGACTGATGGCTTTGATACAGGGCGTGGCTGCTGGAACACACGGTGATGTCACAGCGAAGTCATTACCCAAATGTTGAGGCATTTAAAGAGTGACAATTAGGAAGGAATCTTTATTGTCATATGCACCAGGGGAGGTGATACGAAATTTAGTTTGTACAACCCGTACCCATATTAAAACAGCGGTCTGCTGAAAAAATATAAATTGATGAAATAAAAAAGTAAAAATGGATAAAAAAAAAATTTGAATGAACAGAATTTGGAAAAAAACTTTTACCACCTCATATTTGTCCACAAGTTAAGATAAATAGCGTTACAGACTGACACACACACACACACCAACACACACGCGGTGATTTAATTGGGTCATGGATTTTATCCACTTCAGCTAAGTTCACTCTCCTTCTTTCCTTTTCTCTTAGCTGGTAATAACTTCACTCCCTTTTCTTTTGAGTGCAGCTGCAGATTAATTATAAAGTGAAATGAAAGCTGTGTGTGTGTGCGTGCGTGTGTGTAACAGAGAGAGAGAGAGAGAAAGAGAGAGCAGCTAATCTCACCCCTGACGACTTAAATTCATGCTACAGGACCTGATCTCTTCTCGTCTGACCTTTCCTGTACGTTTTAATTAAAAACGGTCTAAAAATTGGGCAAAGAACCTCATAGAAGTTTAGCCGATTGTTAGCCAACAGTGAGTCTAACATGAACTAAACCTTAGCCAAAGAGATGAACTGAACCAACACAGGTGAACGTTAGCTTAAACCTGTCCAGTCGTTGAAGAACAACAGTTCAACCAGACTGTGTCGACTGATTGTCTGATGTTGGCTAAATGTTAGCGGTGTTAACCTACGTTTAGCCGAGGTCCGACGGTGAGCTTCATGTTGGTGTGCTTCCTGATCACCTGACCAAACCACAGGTGATTTAATCACATGATCTCAGTTTAAAGTTGGGAAGCAAAACAACTAGCCCACGGGACCAGGCTGTGATTGGTGAAGCTGTTTCCATGGTTACACCCTTTAATTAGGAAAGCAATTAAAGACACACAAACTCACTTTTAAAGAAACACTCAGACACACACACACTTACACACTCTCTGTCCTCTCTGGGGAAACTCAAGCGTCTGGTCTTTTTTACCCACAAGACACTGGGCTGATTTCTCCTCAAAGAGGAAATTACCACCCCCCCCACACACACACCCCACCCTCACTGTCTAACTGCTCTATTGTTCTCTTATGGGATGGAAACACACATGAAGAGTGTTTTCTTCCCTGTGTGTGTGTGTGTTCATACCTTCAGACGGGTCCAGCCTCCGCGCCCTGCGGCCATGTTTGGAGTTGTTGTGTACGAACATGTTGTCAGAGACCGCCAGAACGTGACCGTCCACGTTGACTGTCGTGGACACTACCACCTGCACACACACACACACACACACACACACACACACACACACGTGCACACTTAACCTCTTTATACCCAGTGCTTGTGACACACTGACACATAAGAGACTGTTGTTGTCACGGTGTCATCTACAGATGCAGTACCATTACTGACCTGCAGGAGAAGTTCAAAACTGAATGATCGTTCTGTACATTTTTATCTAGATTTATTATTAAATGTCTGGAAGTCACGGACAAAGAACAACATTTCAGCCTTGAGTCGGCCGTGAAGTCAGGGGGTGGAGCTCAGTTTAAACAAACGGTCGTCTTGTCTCAGTGCTGCCACCTAGTGTCCCGCAACACTTAACTTATTTAACCTCACAGCTGATCTGCGGTCATCCATCATCCACGGCTGGTTGTCCAGACAAGGTCACTGCCATTGACCCAGTCAGTGATGGAAGCTGTTCTGTGTGTCACCACGGCGACTAACCAGAGCATCCTTCAACAGCGCTGTCGCTACAAAGACCATCCACCAGTAACCCCCACCCTTCCCTCACCCCCTCCTGGTTTAACAGAACTGGATGTCCTGTCAGCTCGCCCAGTGCAGCATGACACACACGAGAGAAAGCGTGCGTGTGCGTGTGTGTGTGCGTGTGTGTGTGTGTGTGTTACCTGGAACCTCCTCATGTCTCGTGGGTTTCCTGCATTTTTCAGACAGTTCTGGTTACACTTGAGGAAGAACTTCAGGAAAAACCTGTAAAGTAGAAGAGAGAAGTAGGAGAAGAAGAGAGGAGGAGGAGGAGGAGGTACAGGGAGGAAAGGGTGACGGGGAGGAAGGAATAAAGGAAGAACAAAAGGAAATGGTTTGATGAAAATAAAGACAAGTTATAAAATAAGGATGTGAAAACTTCAGCTGATGGTTTCCATGGTGACAGATGTAAACACAACAGAAGTTTGTATGCTTTTTACTGATGTGGGTGATATTGATTACCCAGCATTCTTAGCTGCTGCTTTAATGAGACTACAGAAGGGCAAAGTGCTGACAGACACACACACAGGGAACAGATGTTCAGTCAACAAATGTTTTCACAAAGTCTCCATCTTTCCTTTCTTATTTCCTTTTTCTTTCTTCTTGCCTACTCTGATTCCTCCTTCCATCCTTCTACTGCCCTCCATTTGTAACCTTGTCTCAAACCTTGTTCCCTTACCTTCCTTTTTCACTTCCTTTCTCTTTTCCTTCTCTACTCTACCATACCTCCCCGTCTCCTCTTCTTGTCCATCTCCCCTCATTCTCCTTTCCTCATGCTTCTTGTTCCTTTTTTCTTTTTGTTCCCCCTCCTCGTCTCCTTTTTCCTTCCTTGCCGTTTGTATCCATACTTTCCCTCCTGTCCTCCTCTACTTTTGTTCCTCCTTTTCACCTTTCTTCTTCATCTCTGACCTTCTCTACTCTCCTCCTCCTTTGTCTCCTTACCTCATCTCCGTGTCCCATTTTACTCCTGTCTCCTCCTCTCCTCTCTTCTATCTCTTTTATCCGTCCATTGTTTCCTTCCTATCTCTAATATTTCCTTCCTTCCTTCCTAACCCTCCTGTCCTTCCTCCTTTTCTCTGAATCACAGCATACAGTGTTCGATGGTGTAAATCTTCACGCAGGACAGATTAAGCTTTCAATTTGTTATGTGATAAGCAGGGAAGACCTGACACACACACACACACACACACACACACACACACACACTCTATTACTGCTCATATTTACGAGCAGGAAATGAGGGCACATCGCAGATTTATGTTCACTTAGAAGAAAGAAGTCTCACACACACACACACACACACACACTCACTCAGTGTGTGTGAGAGTTAATAAGCTCTATGAGGTAGAAAATGTAGTCAGAGTGTGAGGAGGAATTATACTGACGCTAATGTGATGACACACGGCCCGACTCTGGGAGTGTGTGTGTGTGTGTGTGTGTGTGTGTGTGTGATTTAGTGCTGTTGGCAGCTCTGCCTGTTAATCTGATCCGAGTCATTTCCACTGTTCATCTTTGTTTTAAAGCAGCTGCTGCTGAGCCACATGTCACAGCCTCACTCTCTCCATCACACACACTTCACACACACACACACACACACACACACTTTTAACAGAGCAGCTGATTGGAGGCCAGAGACTTCTAAAGAGTTATTATCACTGACTTTGCTTTAAATGTCTTCAGGTCGATCCAGATTCACTGACTGTGAAAGAGATGCTGTGTGTGTGTGTGTGTGTGTGTGTGTGTGTGTGTCACCAAGTCCACAGACAATCAAACATCTGATGAACAGAACACTGACATCTAAACATCTAATGAACTTTTCCTCTGTTTTTATTTGAAAGTTTCCTGCCAATCAGTGGAAACTGGAGGAGGACCAATCAGAGCAGAGATGAAGAAGTGAAGGTAGATGACATCATCAGAGTTAAATGACACTGTGTTTAGGTTTGACCTGATCGAGAGAATCAACACACACACACACACATGTTACAGAGTGAAAGTCCTTTGTAGATGATTATCTTCTGATGTAATTGTAACACACACCCCTGAAACTCCAACTGTGTGTTCGTGTGTGAGTGTGAAAAACCCTCTGCTGCTTTAAACTGTTTATCGATTGCGAAGCAACACTGACGATCAATATTGATACACACACACACACGCACAGAGAGCAGGGAACTTCTGTTAAATACCAATTAGAGCAAAAGATTCACTGCATGTCTGTGTTGCTGCCCCCTGAGGAGGAGGAGGACCAAAGTCGGAGGTTATGTGGGAATAGGAGAATGTGGAGGGAGTAGATAAAGGTGAGGAGGTGGGTAGAGTAGAGCAGGAGAACTGGAGGTCAGGAGGAGGCAAAGAGGTCAAAGGTGAAGATAAAAACTACTAGAGGAGGGAATGAAGACGTAGGGAAGTTTACCAGCAGGAAGTAGGAAAGAGAAACGATGATGGAGTCAAGGAGGAGGAGAAATACTCTGAGAGGAGAAGGTATTAAACCAGGTAAGCTGTGGGATCAGGGTGGAGTCTCATCTCTGTGCACTGAATGACATCATCAGTGAGCGCCTTCAGACTGAGAACGTGTTCTTAATGTTCTGTCCAAACAGATGATCGGCCTCCGTCTGTTCTCCTGGACGTTTGTTTTCCTTTGACCGGTTTATGAGCTGCGTGTCTTCAGTGTGGAGATGCCTTCATGGTTCTTCCAGACAGCAGAAGACGGTGCATTCAGGGTCACAGTCTTCAATACCTGACCATTACATTCAGCTGCCCTCCACACATTCATACATTTAACATCTGGCCGGCTGCGGCCGCCTCCAGGGGGCTCCACACATTATTCAGCTGTCAGTCAGACAGTAACGCTGCGGTAATGAGATTCTCCCCAAAACCAGCGCCGCATCACGCCTCCGCCTGCCGTTTGACTGACAGCCAGCCATCCTCCCAGAATCCCCTGCTGCACACACCAGAAAGCTGAGCGGACAGGACGCGGGGGGGGGGTCAAGTAACATGTTGTTGGAACAGAAGAGGGCGCTATATCGTCTTTATCGCCATCACCAAAATCACTCAAAGTTTTCTTGTAGTCCCAGTTACTGTCTTCATCATCATCATCATTTTCTTCATCATCATCTTCATCAGCAACGTGGTTTTCATCATCATTGTGCTTATCATTATCATCTTCACCATCTTCATGATCATCTTCATCAGAATTGTCTTCATCTTCATCATGGTCTTCATCATCTTTATCGTTGGCATCATTTTCACGCTGAATGTTTTAATTGTTGACATCATCTTCATCATCGTCATCTTCATCACTGTGTCTCAGTTATCAACGCTGTCTTAAACCTATTTAATTTGCTGTTGTTGTTGTTGACATGACGGCAGCCATGTTTTGGTGGACACTGGTCAAAGGTCATGTGACCCGACGAACAGACCAATCTTTTGTTAGAGCCAAAACGCTTCATCTTGAAACAGATTTTTTTTCTCTTTCTCTCTCTCTCTCTGACATTTTTTTTCCGTTCACTGGACGACGCCCTCAGGAGACCTTCCCATCATGCATTTCAGCCGCTGGAACATTACCACCACTTGTGTTTTCAAAGAGCTGCAGTCACTTCCTCCACTTACACCTCCATCCACACTCCTCCTCTCGTACCTTTTCTCTCCTCCTCTCCATACAGCCTGAGGCAGGAGGGTGAGGGGGGCGGTGAGAGTAATACTCAGGGGGAGGACAAAAAGAGAGGAGGAGGGTTGGAGACTGGAGAAGGGGGAGGTGAAAAGAGGAGAGCATGTGATTCCTCCTGGGAGAGGAGGAGAAGGGGGAGGGAGGGGGAGGATAAAAGGAGGGAGGAGGTTGAGCCTCTCCACACCACATCCACACAGTGACCGTAATATTCAGTGAACTAAAACTTCTTTAAACTATGACACCTGAACGCACCACAGAGATAATTCACTCAAACGCACCACTTGCTGACCCTTCAACCTGCTGTACAAGTTATTGGAGGTACCTGAATGCATCACATAACACAGCAACGATGGAAATGTAGTTCTTTTGACTGTTTCTGTGTTGAAAGCTGTGTGTGTGTGTGTGTGTGATGGGGCAGAAGTGTGTGTTGTAGATAACAATAGAAAACACTTTACATTCCTAACACACAGTGGATTATCATGCAGTGAGTGTGTGTTTCTCAGCTGAATGGATTTCACACTCACACATTATTGTAATAGCAACTTCTGTGTGTGTGTGTGTGTGTGTGTTACCTGTCAATGATAACGGGGTCCGACGGCGTCTCATTCCTGTTTCCGCAGCTCTTCTTATCACAGCAGCGACTGTTTTGAAAACACAACAGTAAAAACATAATTGAACAGGCGGTACGACTGTTGTCACGCTGTGAAGTTCTGTCCAGAACCGGGTGGTTCTTTGGTTCTGTTGTTGATACGGTCCACAGTTCCTTACCTGCACATGATCTCGTGCGTGAGCAGAACCCGGCACATCTCTGGGTTCTTGTCCTGACCTTCATAGATGATCGCCTGCACCACACAGTTAGCTGTTAGCTTTAGGATTAGCTGTTAGCCGTTGTCAAGCCATATCAACTACATGCTCTGCTCCTGGTGAATATTAGCTGTTAGCATCAGCACTCACTGCCAGCTGTTAGCTGTACCAGAACTATACAGTTAGCATCATATATTGATGTTGGTATTTACCACATGGAACTCTGAGGGGGCGGAGTCACAGGCCTTTGATTTGTTTGTGTGATTAAGAAATCCATGATCTGATATTTGTGTATCAGTGATTATTAATTATTATTATTATCAATAACATGTCACCTGTTTGGTCATGGAGTCAATGAGTCTGACGTAAAGGTCCTGTTCTGTCCTCACTCCTGAAGATACACACAGTCACACACACACGCAGTTAAATTAGTTATTGTCATTCTCTGGGACTGTACTGTGTGATAAAACCAGCGCTCCTACTCACCGTTACTGTAGAGCAGCTGGAGTTTGTAGTGAATTCCGTTGTTTGTTTTCTCTCCTGTCGGCTCCTGGACACACACACAAATCAGGTCGTTTTATAATCTAATGGTTATTGGTCAATTCATATGTTTTTCTTTAGCCTTTATTTAACCAGACAAAGGGGCCCTGGCCGAGGTGAGTTTGTTTTCTAATTCCTTATGAAAGGTCAGGGAGTGTTTGTTTCCTGGAGTTCATCAAACCGTTATGTTCGTCTTCGAAGCGTTACGTGTTAGGTTTGCGATGCAGCCTCACTCACTTTCTCCTTCTCCACAAAGTCGACGTATGCGGTGCGTTCGATCTCCACTGGTTGACCCTGTCGGTCGTACAGAGCCAGCACAAAGTGGAAGAAGTTGGATTTCCTCAGGTTTGACGGAGGCTGCTTCTCAAAGTGAGCCCGCGCTAACCCCACCCCGCTGGGACAGAGAGAGAGAGAGAGAAAACACAAGTGTCAATGTCACAATAACTGACCACTGGAGGCAGTAGTTGACCATCAGGTTGTTAAATAGAGACACAGAGTAGTGAGAACATCTTCTGTAGATCACAGACCTGGCCTGGAGTCTGGTTAGAGTTAGTCTGGTTAGAGTTAGTCTGGTTAGAGTTAGTCTGGTTAGAGTTAGTCAGGTTAGAGTTAGTCAGGTTAGAGTTAGTCTGGTTAGAGTTAGTCTGGTTAGAGTTAGTCTGGTTAGAGTTAGTCTGGTTAGAGTTAGTCTGGTTAGAGTTAGTCTGGTTAGAGTTAGTCTGGTTAGAGTTAGTCTGGTTAGAGTTAGTCTGGTTAGAGTTAGTCTGGTTAGAGTTAGTCTGGTTAGAGTTAGTCTGGTTAGAGTTAGTCTGGTTAGAGTTAGTCTGGTTAAAATAATGTTTTTGATCCGAACTGGAGACTGAACCTGTGATGTCATCAACAGCAGCATTTCATGTTAATTATCGTATTTCATGTGATGTCATCAACAGCAGCATTTCATATTAATTATCGTATTTCATACTATAAAGGAGTGAAACACACACACGCGCAGACATGAACAACACATTTTTTAAAAATCAACAAAACCTTTAAGCGCAGTAAAGGTCAGTCCTGCTGGATATGATTCTTTAACTTTAAACTAAATTTGAACAAAGTAAATATAAAATGACATCAGTCAGTTCTGCAGCCAATAAAAACTGTTTACACACACACACACTAAAGTGTTTATTTTTTTTATTTTCATTCACCAAAAAAGGAATCAAATGAAAATCTTTAAAAAGTCAGGTTTTTGTCTGACGTGAAGACGTGGACATGGGGACATTTAAACATTCTGAACACACGCAAAGACACATGAAAAAAAAAACTGTGACGAGAGAGAGGGAGAGAGAGAGACCAAAGAGGACACAAATAATACTGGAACAAATGACTGAAGACAAATAGGACATTTAAAGACCTGGAGGCATGTGAGACGGTGTGAAGGAATCAGAAACTTAGAAAAGAATATTCAAGACCAAATGTGTCCAAAAGAGACAAGGACAAAAAGAAAACAAATTATAAAAAGGCATTAAAGAGAAGGCGGTCAGTTGACAGGACAGTAGGAGACTTTAAAGACCTTGAGGACAAAAATGACTCCAAGCTATTTACAGAAAGAGGAGGACATTCATTTCATTTAGGAGAAGTCTTGGAGCAGTGTCCTCAGGTTTGTCCTCGTCACCTCACTCTTCGTCTCCTTTTCAATTTTTTAATTATTTGAGTCTAAGGTAAAAAAAAAATGAGCTGAACATTTTTTATTTTATTTATTTAAAAACTAAAAATAAAATCTATTTAATCCACATTAAAGAAAAAACAAAATACTTTTTCAAACGTTCTCATTAATTTGATGAAGAAACAACGTTTTACTGAATTGTTTTATATTAGAAAAGAAAAAAGAACGCATTTGACTGTAATTAAAAATCAAACTTCTGTGTGTAAAGACGTGACGGCAGGTCAGAGAATTTCACAGATTAAATCTGGGTGGATTACAGAGTGGGCATTTCATTCAATCTGTTCAACCCTAAATGAGGATGAGGATATAAATTATATTTATATATATTTTTTAATTTATATATATAAATTAATAATTAACAAAACTGAATTTTTTAAAATGAGAATAAAAAGTGTCTGTGGACGTGGACACTTCAGGGACTCACGGGGAAATCAAGTTGTTTATGATTTTATCATTTTAGAAAACCAGAGATTTTTATTGGTGATATTAAAAATATCACCAATATGTAAAGAGGAGGTGAAAGGAGGAAGAGGAGGAGAAAAACATTTGACCGTGGAAACTGAAAGAATTAAAAAAAAAAAGTCGGGGAGATAAAAAATAAAAGTGATGACAAAGATTCAACAGAAACTTTTAAAATCAATCAGTGATATTGAACAGGAAGACAAAGGTGTTTTTTTTAACTTTTGTTATTTATATATAAATTTGTTTTTATTTCTCAAAGCATTGTTTCAGTTTTGGTGGAGAATCATATGATTTTTTTATATTGTTAAAAACAAAGTTTAAAATTTAAACATTAACTTAAGAACAATTTTATAATTTAAACATAAATAAGATTAAATTAAATTCATTATTTTAACTCATGATTACAGTTTTATTTTTCTAGGTTTATTTTTTATTCATTTATCTTTTTCTGTACTCTGTTTTAATTTTTTTTTTGTTTTCTTTTCTGTTACATTAAATGTTACATTCAAACCTCAGCCCTGTCCTCCCACGGTACTACAGCTCCCATAATCCCCCTGGGTATTTTTAACTTTACCTCTGAGCGGCCGTGTTGGCGTCCACCACACCGGCCGAGTGCATCCAGGAGCGAACGGCCAGCGGTTCCTCCTTCATGTTGGCTGCCACTGTGGCCCCGCGGGGCAGGGTGTCCTGGATCCCGAACATGGTCTCTGGAGCCGCGGGGTTCAGACTTCCACGGAGGCAGAACCAGGAACGCGGAAAAATGTTACAATTAAAACGGAAAGTGTCCGAAAAAAGAAAAGGCGTCAAAAAAGTGTGAAGGACGGAGTCTTCACGTGAAGTCAGGGACGAGGACTGAGACACGGAAAAGACACGAGGACTGAGACACGGAAAATTTGGGGAAAGTAGTTGAGTAAAAAGTGGAGCAGGAGTTATTTTTTATTTTTCTGTTGAACTTTTGTCTTTGACTCTTTTTCAGATTTCAATCCAGATTCCACTAAATTTTAAAAAATTGTATATTTGATCTTTTTATTGAATCTAAAATGTTCTTTTCGAGGCGGACATGTTGGCGAAACCATCGGGGAAAAGAATACGGAGGAGGAAAAAAAAGAAATAAAATCCTCAGAGGACGAGTTTCGCGACGGCGGGTCTGAACGGCGAATCGAGAACAAGCAAAGTGTCTTTTTTCTTTTCCCCAAAGAGAGGAGACAAGGAGAAGGAGGTGAGGAGAGAAGGAAGGAGGAGGTACAGCGGCGGCGGCAAAGGAAGGAGACGCAGTCGCTGGCCGAGGATGATGATGGAGGAGGAGAAACTCTCAGCCCTGCGGCCCCACAGGACTGGACGCCAAAACCCAAAAACCCCACGGGTCTTCCTCCAAGCTGCTGACGACATCACAGTGAGGCGGGGCCTGACCATATAAGGACAGCAGAGGTGAGAGAAAGAAAGAGTTTGTGAGAGAGAGGGATGGAGGAGGAGAGAGAGAGAGAGAGAGAGAGGTAGGTGGAGGAGGAGGAGAAGGGGGAGAGGGAACCAACCAACCAGAGCGAGAGACCTTGATCTCTCTGTTGCGTTCAGGTCTCTCTCTCTCTCTCTCTTCCCCTCTCCCTCTCTCTGTGTCTCTGCAGTGAAACCAGGTCTGGACTTGGTCAAGGTCTCTTCTTCTTGGTCCTTGTTTTCCAGTTCCTGGTCCCAGGTCTCTCAGGTCCTCTTCATGATTCTCCGTACTGTTTTTCTAGGTCTTAGTTCCTCTTTCTGGTCCATGGTCCTTCCTTGTCTCCACACCTGGTCTCCATGGTTCTTCTTTCTGCGTCCAGGTATCAGGTCCTTCTTCTTCTGTGGTTTTGTTCCTTCTTTCTGGTCCAGTTCCCTGCAGGCCTTGGGTTTTAGTCCTTGAGTCGTTGGTTTGATTTGTCCTTCCAGGTCCTTGGTTCTTCAGGTCTAGTCCTGCGCTCTTTGTTCCTGGTCTTGGTTCTTTGTTGTAGGTCCTCATTGAAGTTTTCAGTTGTCCCAGGTCCTGGGCTCTGATCGAGTCCCCGTGAAACCTGTCCATAGACCAAGTCCATGACTTGACCGGTGTGTGTGTGTGTGTGTGTGTGTGTGTGTGAGAGAGAGAGAGGCAGAAGTTTGAAAGAAATGCTAAAGAAATGCTAAAGAAAAATTTAGAAAAAAAAAAACAAACAAAGAGCGTGGACTAAGAAAAGTGATTAAAGAAAAAGGAGAAGAGACGACAGTGAGTTGAGGAGTGGGAGGAGGAGGAGGAGGAGGAGGAGGAGGAGGAGAGGTTCAAGCAGACGAACCTGGACAGGAAGTAAACGACAAGAAATGATCTGATAAAACAGAAAAATTTAAAGAGAAGAAAAAAAATCAGGAAACGAGAGAAAGTGGAAAAAAGGAGAAAACAGAGGAGCAAAGGAGGAGTTGAGAACACGGAGGAAAAAAACAGGAGCAGGAGGAGGAGAACAAGGAGGAGGTGTCTAAAATGAGAACATCATTTTCTTCTCACTTCTCAATAATGTCTGTTCTGTAGCAAACATTAGCAACTGTAGTATTAAATTATAATAATTATTAGTATTTTGATTAAATATGACGAAGTGAACAAAGAGAGGAAAATATTTTGCGTCTCCTTTCTCTCCTCCCACTCCTGTTAGTCATAAAAAACTGATCATTTAATTTAAAGAGAGAAATAAATGAGGAGGAGGAGGAGGAGAAAGGGAATAAAAGAGGGGGAGACGGCAATCTGGTTTCCAAATGAGGCTGGGCTCTTTAGGGACAAAATCCTTCACCTGAGAGAGGAGGGGAGAGGAGCGAGTGGAGGAGGAGGAGAGACGGAGAAATGGTGGAAAAAAAACAGGAGAAAATGAAATAGAGTGGGGTTTGTGCCTCCTCCTTCTCTTCCTCCTCCTCCTCCTCCTCCTCCTCATTTCTCCTCCTTCTTTTGCTCGGTTTTATTCCTAACTTAATTTTCAGTGATTGGTTTTTAAGGTTTTTTTTAATTTTCATTTCAGTATTTTTTCCATCAAAACAAAAAAAAAACTACAATAAAAAAAAACATTTTATTTCAAATTATTTTTCGGAGTCCAGTCGATTAATCAACAGCCAATCAACTAAATGGTTTAGTAATAGTTAGTTAGTCATTAATTATAAACCTTCTCTCTGGTTTTTATCATTTTTATTTTAATATTAAAATAAATATTATAATAATCAGTGTCCAGTGTGAGAATAAATATTTTAATGCTTGTTTACTTCGATCTGATAAAATGTATAAATACACGCAGTAGTACTTCATATCCTGTGATTGTACCTAATATTCACCCAAACATAAATTAATATGTTTTTCACTTATTTGTTTCGTGTTTGTATTTTGTTTTTTATTAATTTCAAATGTTTTTTCTCTGTAATACAATTATCAAAGTTAAATCTTAAAAATCTTTAACTGAACTGTTTCAGTTTCAGCTGCTGAAGGAGCCGAGTGTGTGATAACACCACACACACACACACACACACACACACACACTCGTTTGCCGAGCTCTCACACAGTTTTTATTTATTTTGTGAACTTATTATTATTATTATTTATTAATGATATTAATGATGATATTTTTAAATATTGACATTTAATAAAATGTTCAACATGATTTTTTCTTAGATTTGTTAAAATGTATTTTTCAAAACAGATTTCAGTTCAAGTACATTTTTAACAGATTCTGATCAAATTCATTTTATTCTGTTGTCGTTAAAAAGTCAAAATTATAACTGAGTAAAAATGGTCAAGAAAATCTCTATATATTTACTGTTTAAACTGTTGATTTTCTCTGTGTGTGTTCACACTCCTTTATCCTCTATGAAGTGTTTCCTTTTATAAGTGTGTGTCAGGCTCTCGCTCCATCACACACACACACACACACACACACACACACATTCACACACACACACACATTTGCATTTAAATAGCGACATCAACCAGCGTTCACGGCAGCGCAGCGGCGGGTTTCCCAGATGTCACCACAAAGTCAGATGGGCCAGCTGTCACACACACACACACACACACACTCACACACACACACACTCACACACACACACACTCACACACACACACACTCACACACACACACACTCACACACACTCAGCTGACTCGGTAAAAAACATGCATTCAGTCAGTTTGAACTACAGGAGCCGTTCCTTAGTCGGTGTGTGTGTGTGTGTGTGTGTGTGGGGATACACACACACACACACACACTGATCAGCTCACTGACAGATCTCTGACATTTGTCAGACAACTGTTCATACACTAAAAAAGAAATCACTGTGTCCAGCTCTGAGAACTGTCCACAGTCCACTGACACACAGACTGCCCACAGTCCACAGACACACATACTGTCCTCAGTCCACAGACCCACAGAGTGTCCTCAGTCAACTGACACACAGACTGCCCTCAGTCCACTGACACACCGACTGTCCACAGTCCACTGACACACAGAGTGTCCCCAGTCCCCAGACACACAGACTGTCCCCAGTCCACTGACACACAGAGTGTCCACAGTCCACTGACAAACAGAGTGTCCCCAGTCCACAGACACACAGACTGCCCACAGTCCACAGACACACACAGACTCTCCTCAGTGCCCAGACACACAGACTGTCCCCAGTCCACTGACACACAGACTGTACTCAGTCAACTGACACACAGACTGCCCACAGTCCCCTGACCCACAGACTGTCCTCAGTCACCTGACACACAGACTGCCCTCAGTCCACTGACAAACACAAACTCTCCTCAGTCCACTGACTGTAGGAGTGTAGGACATGATGAGGAGACAGGAGTCTGTCTCTAGAACAGTATGTTTTTACATGTATGGTTAGTTGTGAACAACACTGATCAGTCAGGTTTACAGGACAGGGTTCTCCACTCATCAACCAGACCTGAGTGACTGTTTCACATTGTTCTTTGTTAACAGCGTTCTGTCTGTTGTTCCTACAGACCACAGACGACAAATTGGCGTGTGAATTCTGCTCTACAAGTAAATATTTTTTTTAAAAATAATTATAAAACGTTGCTTTTATTTTTTATGTTGTGATTTAAGTCAAAGCTGATTTGATTTTTTTTTTTTTTTTTTTTTTTTTTGCTGCGACTCTTTTGTCTGAATCTGCTGCAGTTTTTGTGGACGAAGGAAAACTGGAAACAAAAAACCTCGACCTTCAGCTCCACACTGTGTGTTTCTCTGTGTGTGTCTCTCTCTCTCTCTGTGTGTGTGTGTGTGTGTGTGTGTGTAGCTGCTGAGGGAATTCCTTGTCCCAGCTCGGGGAATTCCCTCCATCCCAGCAGAGACGAAGGCCAGCGAGGAAAGAGCGACACCAAGTGGAGACACAGGTAAAGCATGGTAAGTGATGAAAAGAAACGGAACAGTGACTTCATCTCACTCATGAAGGACGTTTAACCAAAAAAGACGAAAGAAAACACGAAATAAACTGTAGAAAACAACCTGATCACGTAGAGTAATGATGATAAATGTTGCCCTATTTCTTGTCTGATAACTGAAATAATAATGGGTGATGGTACACATGATGGTACATGCTCCGTTGTACCCTCAGTCTTGTATGTCAGGTACTATCACTCTCAGTCTGGTCTATCATCGTGTGCTGATGTCTTGTCTGCCTTGACACCTTATAATAACTCCCGCCGTCTGAAGTAGTTGGTTTTATTTGCATTCTGTGACGACCTCGTAACAGGATTAACACTTGTTCCTCCGTAGCTCCTGACACTCTTCACCGAGTTTACTGTGAAAAGTTAATGACGCCCTCAGTTTGATCAGACAGGTAGAAGACCTCTGTCTGTACTGACGGATTAGTGACAGGTTTACTTTCCCTCGGCTGTGTCTGACAGGCAGCAGACAAAGGAGACGATCGTCAGTGCCCCAGCGTTCGGACCAATCACAGTCGATTAAGATGATTCCACCTTTTTAACTGCTGCTAATTGAAGCTGACGCTTCGGTAATGAATGAACAACGGAGGTTAATGAATTCAGCTGTGACTGACGTCTCCAGATGTCCAAAAGCAGGACCGTCCTCTGTTTTTAATTTACTGACTCGTCCTCTCATCTTCTGGAACATCTCCTCTGTCCTCTGCTGTCGTCCACGCCAGGACATGACAAAGTTAAACAAAGTGAGACATGGACAAAAGTAGCTAACACTGGTAAGTGTTACCGAACCAGCTTCGAATTAGCTGTCGAACTTAGCACGACCACCGCTAAATGCTTTAATCTAAGAAATTGCTGAAAGTCGGAACAAAATTCATTCCTGAAGGCTTTTACAAGTAGCTTTTTTAAATGATTTAGTCCTAAAACATTTTTTTTATAAAATAAATATATTAAATATTTTTCAAATCCTCGTCTGAATTAGAACAAAGAGTTTAAATGTACTATAATATATATTTAAAGATAAACTGTTAAATAGCTAAAACAGCTAGCTAACAAAAATATAAATCTAAATAGTGTTTGTGTCCAAAGTAACTAAAAATTAAAAACAAAGGATCAAAATGTAAAATTATAAAAGTTTGTCCAGGACAAGCATAAATACCTAAAGAGTATTTTAAAAATATTAATGAGCCGACAAGAAGACGACTTGTTAGACTGGACAAACATGAAACTTCAATATATACATAATGTTGATAAATAAAAGTTCGTATATAATTTATATCCTACACAACCTAGAACAATGAACATACAAAACGTATAGGACGAATTGAGTTCGAAAACCGAGGTTCCACTGTAAATATATTTTACTTACACGTTGATTCGCAGTGATCTGGTGTTTTTCTAGTGTTTGTCTCCACCTGGTGGACCAACACAGTCACGACATGGTCTTTCAACAAATGATGCAACAAACTTTCTAATTTCTCGTTTGTTTGTTTTTTTTTTTGCGAAAAATGTTTTTCCAGTTTTACTAACGTTGTCATGTGGGAAAATCATTAACAACTAAGTTAAACATATAAACTCATTAACATTTTATATGAAAAGAAAACAAAAAGCACAACTTTGTCGACCAGGATTGTATTTAAAAAAAATCAAATTCCAAGTATAATTAACTTTCGTCCCCTTTAATAGTTAATAACATATGATATAACTATAATAATGGTTCATTATAATATATCTATCATAATGCTTTCTTGTGACTCAGCACTTGGTGGAGATGTTGGACAGAGAATGTAGGAGATGGAGTTGCCAGGCAGGAGGAGAAGGAAATGGGGAAGTGAGAGAGGAGGTGTAGGCAGTGGGTGTGACAGTGGAGGAGGTGGAGGTTGATGGTCATTCTTGAAAGCAGCTCTCAACGGAGGATAAGAAGTACATCACCATCACTTATGATTTGTCTTTGAAACTATATTACCCAGGATGCCCAGCTGCAGCTAAAGAGGGAGGGTAGTGGGAGGAGGGAAATGAAAGAAGGAGGAGGAGGGGGAGTTTGGGAAAGAATGTGAAGAATTTATTTCCTGTTCTGCAGCTCAGAGTTGCAGGGACGGCGGAGACGGACGAGTCATGGCTGAGTCTAAACGCCTGAGAGACATGAGGGACGAGAAGCAGTGACTGGTGTGGACAACCCTCTGTCTCCTGTAGGAGGATCGAGAGGAGGAGGAGGACGATGGCAGAGCCCCTGCTGAAGAGAACTTTCTCCAGACTCCGCTCCCGCAGGAAGACGGATCCCAAAGTTAACGGTGAGGAAAGTTGGAAGAGATGATGGTGATGATGTCACATGTCTGACTGAGGTGATGATGGTGATGATGATGATGAAGATTTTCATCAGCTCATCCTAAAGTCGCCCAGAGATGATCAGCCGTCAGTGTTTGGGTTTTGATTGTCTCTGCGAAAGTTGGTTTGTCTCCTGCAAGGAGCGAAGCTGAGGACGACTGATACGTCACCGCAGCCAGGACCAGAGTGAGGACAAACTGAGACGGAGACAGAGAGGGAAAAACCCCAGGGAGGACAGAAAAACAAACATGACGCACAGATTGACAGTGATGGACAGTAAAAAGACAAAATTAAGACAGAGGGGGAGAGAAAGAGAGAGTGAGAGAGGAACAAAGACTGCAAGAGACAGAGAGAGCCAAGCAGGGTGAGGACAGATGGAGAGAAAAAACAGAAAGACAATGAAGACACAGCAATGACGAGGACAGAAAAATGGAACGGACTTTGTTAAGAGACAGATGGACAGATACAGAGAGTCAAAGAAAAGGAAGACGTGCAGAGAGACAGAGAGGAACAGGATTCAGGGACAACATGGACACAGTGGACTGAGAGGGATAAGGAAACAGAGAAGACAGAAAGACATTTTAGAAATTAAATATAAAGAAGACAGATACACACACTGGGGATGGACAGAACAAGAAGACGTTATAGAAACAGAACAAAGTTTAGCAGAGACACAGTGGACTGACAGATGACATGTGCACAATAAGACAAAAGCCAGATAGACTGGGGACTGGACAGGATGGACAGAGTGACAGACATTGTGTACAAACTGGTAAAAGTCTGAGGACACAGAGGACAGATACTGGACAGCCAGAAGATGCACATTCAATTAGTGGACTCTCAGAGGACAGACTGTCATTTTGTGGGGGACTGTAGGGACAGTGGTTCTGGTGGACATGCAGTCTTTTGTTGTGTCCAAGTCTTCTGTCCTCTCATTGGTCATTTTAGAGCTTATCTCGTCTTTCTTTGCTCTAATGGTCCACTTCCTGTCTGTTAGTGGACCACTTCCTGTAATTACACGTGTGTGGCCACTTCCTGTTTATCTTTGACCTATGAGGAGATCTTACAGGAAGTTGGGGTAAAGGGTGATTTTGGACACGTTAGCACCGGGAGTGAATGTCCAGAGTGACAGTATGTACCATGTGTGATTGACTTTGTGGTGTCGTCTCCAGTGAAGGACCGTTTAAAGGGATAAAAGACTACAAACTGGCTCAACAGCCAAAAACAATCAAATACTAAGATACGAGAAGAAAACTGAAACTGTAAAGAAAAGAAATAAGGCAAAACAACACTGAGGAGCCCAGACATAACCAAAATTAGCAGCTAAAAGTTAGCTGTGTTAGCCATAAGATAACCTAAAATTGAAATAGCTGAAGTTTTAGCTTAAATACTTAAAAACTCTGAGGTTAGCTAATCGTTAGATTACAAAACAAATGTTCATAGCACACATAGCCTTGTGTTCAACCAAACTACCTAAATGTCAGCCCAAATCTTGATGATCAAGGATTTTAGTCTGAAAAACCAACATAAAAAACACCAACTTACTGGAGCACTAGCTTTGATTTAGCCAAGACGTTGGCTAAAGGGTAGCTGTGGTACAAGTCAACAGTGTTTATTTTCATGAGGCGGTCATGTGACTGGACAAATGTTCAAGTGTTAAAGGTGGCCTTGTCTTACAGCTGAATGTGTGTGTGTGTTTAGGACTGATGAATAGTGAATAGACAGCAGTGTGTTTGGAGCAAAAACACACTGTCGTTATTGACGACATCTGGACACACACACACACAGCTGTTTATTCAGCCCCCTCCTCCTCCTCCTTCTCTTCGTTTTCCTCCTCCCCCTTTGCCCCCGCCTCCTCTCGGGCTGATCCCAGCACTGAATGAAAAACAGATGTACTATTATTAGCTCACACACTCACAAAGTTCTCTATCAAGTCCTCGGTGAGCTGGGTCATGTGACAGGAAGAGAGGGCCAACCTCTGGAGAGAATCACTTCCTGCCTGTTCTAGTTTCAGCAGCAGCTGTGCACTGGTCAGACCAATGGGTCCTGGAGGACTTCCAGGTGTCCTTGAGGGGGCTGCAGGAGTTTAAGGTTAAAAAAAAAAGGTCCACAGAGCCAGACGTTAACTGCTTCATCTCACTGTTAACAGACCTTTTCCTGACAGGATGCCAGAGTTTAGGCCACACCAAAGTCCATACAGAAAAACAGCATGTTTGACTCCGGGCAAAACAAGAGCTCCAGATCCACTCTGCCTCGTGTGGTCACTTTACGACATAAGTTGA